TATTTACCCCTTGAATAGCCTTTCCAATGTGTGGCAAATGTGTAACCATGCTATTTGGATATTCCTTTGTAAATTCCTGTTGAGTGTGGCTTTCGCAGACATTTTAAAGTGTCCCAGCTCAATTTTACCGTTTTCTCTCAAACCACATAGTCCACGTTTTATATTATGGTAACACAGTCTATGTATTCCAGATTCAGATTAACTAACATGAGTTTGTATTTCCAAAAACAACAAAACAAAAGTCTATACATAAAACCCAGAATCGAAGTATCTCTGCACCGACAAGCCAAGGATGTAGGAAAACTGATCGTAAAACGATTCTGAAAAGGAAGCAAATACCTCATGAGCAGCCTCAGCTCACTGATTCACCTCTTGCCAATCAAACAGTAAGTCTGTACCTCCCAGCATCTTACTGGAGTTGATGGAGTACAAGATCAGAACGAAACTCTACTGAAGTATCATTCTTCGAGATAATTAAAAGTAAGATAAAATAATTATATGATCTCATGATACAAGAGCTTATAAATTCCTTTTTATTATATATACCATATTCACAGACTCATGCACAAAACTTAAAATAGCTCTACCTTCATGTAACAATCTCTTTGGTTCTTTTCCATTCTGTGAGCACCTCCCATATTCCCTGTCTGTGTTCCTCTATTGCACTTTCCTCACGTAGTCACGTTATCTCTTAGGCTAGCTCAGGCTCTTTTCTCACTATCTCTGATATTTTACATATATTACATATATGCATAAGTAAGAGGAATGCATAACAGATAACAAAAGCATGTTTTAACACATAACCCTTGCATACAAGGCACACATTCGATATATATTCCAATAAAAATCTGCTACAGAAGAAAATAAGCAAAATGTGCTGTTACGAAAAAATGATGGTAAATCCAAGAATTTTTTTTCAGTTCTTATTTTATGTAACTATGTTTTAGCTTGTCAATCTCTTCTCATCTGAAGGTACAGATTAATGGACTATACTTCTTTAGGAATGGGCTTGACTTTTTATTCAATTGAATCATTCAATAGAATGTGCTCTGTCATAGTATGGTTAGTGTATGCTATTCTTCTGTGTGACAATCATGCTATGAGCCATTATGTGACCCTTTGATCCAGAATCATGGATTAACAATAATGACCACTAACCTTGGCCCTGAGGTTTATGTTAACAACCTGTCTGAAATCTTCTAATTTAGTGCAGAACAGGATTTCATTTGAGGGACCTTCTTGTTCTCCATGGTTCAGTCCCATATGGGAGTGTCCTTATCACTTAGCTAAGAAGGAACTTGATTGTGACAACAATTGTAAAGCGATTTTACTGACATTAGGATTCTTTGATCAAATCGCTGCACAGACCAAATGGAGCAGATTCATCTCTGACTTCCATACAAAGCCTGCACATCAAAACCATTTTGACCCTTAAACCTCTTACCGTCTCCATTCTTTTCACGGATGAATCTTCACTAAATGCAACCAACATTGCAGGAACTGCAATCGTATTTAACACCTTTATTTCTCATCACATATTTTTGTAGCAATGGTGGTTAGATTTTATAACTTATAAAAAGGATAGACTTTCCAAAGAAACATCATTTTAGTTTCTTGCTAAATTAACCACAGCTAATTCATCTCACCATAAAGTACTGATTTTAGACAGCCCAGTATAATTAATGTCACGTATGAAGCTGTGGTACGTGCAATGGATTTTGCCACACATTTTACAATAGAGAAATCAGCTGTGAATGATGAACAAATTAGTTGATATCTTTATTTTCTGTGGATAATAATCTGAAGTAGCGAAAAGATTTGTTGGTTGGAAATTATGAAGCTTACGTAGAAAGATGCAGCATTGAAGGAATCCATTTGGCCCATTGTGCCTGTACTAGTTTCAAATGGTTAAACAAAAATCTGCTCAGTTGTTGATTGCTTAAAGTATGAAATCTAATTTTGTACACCCTTTCCAATCACTTCACCGGGCCACCAATCTAACCACATTGAGTGATTAATGGGAAATAGCCACCAGCAACAAAATGTTCCTAGCCAAAGCATCAACACTTTGAACTAAAAGTACATTTTGATAGCTCATACCTTTCCTATTCCCAGCAGTCTCCATTTAGCATTTCTTCACTTCTACTCCTGGAGATTAGAAGAATGTGGAAACCTACTGAGGGGGTATTTTTTCAATATATTCATTCATCAGATGTAGACATTGCTGGCTAGTTCAACATTTAATGCTCATCTCTAATTGCTCTTGATAGATGGTGGTAAGCTGCCTTCTTGAACCACTGCAGTCTTGTGTGTAGGTACACCACACAGTGCTGTTTGGGAGGCAATTCCAGGATTTTGACCCAATGACAATGAAGGAACAGCAATATTGTTCCAGTCAGGATGGTGTGTGGCTTGAAGGGCAACTTACAAATGGTGGTGATCCTAAATATCTGCTGCCTTTGTTCTTCTAGGTGGTATAAGTTTTGGTCTAAGGAGCCTTGATGAGTTGTTGCAGTGCATTTTGTAGGTTATACACTGCTGTCACTGTGCAGTGGTGGTTGAAGGAGTGAATTTTGAAGATTGGGGTTGAATCAACTGAGCTACTTTGTCCTGGATGTATCAAAGTTATTGAATATTGTTGGAGTTGCACTCATTCGGGCAAGGGGAGATACTATATCATACTCCTAACTTGTATTGTAGATAGTGGACAGGCTTTGCTGAGACAGGAGGTGAGTCACTTGCCGTAAAATTTCTAGTCTCTGACCCGTTCTTGTGGTCACAATATTTATATGGTTCACCTAGATTGGTTTCTGGTCCTTGGTGACCACCAGGTTGATGATAGTGGACTATTCAGCATCGGTAATGCCATTAAATGCCAAGCGGTAAGGGGTGGGTTGTCTGTTATTTAAAACAGAGATTTTAGGCAGAAACAAGGAGGAATTTCTTCTCTCAGAGGGTAGCGCATCTGTGGAATTCACTACTACAGAGAGATATAGAGGCTGAAATGTTATGCTTCTTGAAAGCTGAGGTAGATTTTTAATTGGTAAGGGAATTAATGAAATGAGCAAAAGGCAAAGAAGTGGGATTTAGGATCCAATTGAATGGTAGAGTACACTCAATCGGCCGAATAGCCTACTTCTGCTCCTATGTCTTTTGGTCTTACGATCTTGTTGGAGGTGGTCATTGCCCGTCACTCGTAAGGTGCAAAATGCTACACAGAGTCATTGCAATTTCCAAAACAGCATCAGACCAATCAGCCCATCATCATGATGCAAATAATAATAGGTCTAACATGCTGTCCTTTCAATGCAACATTAAACTCATTTCCATCTGTCTAAAGAAGATGGTAAAATATCTCATGGAACTATTGTGAAATAGCAGTGGAGCTATGGTCACTATTTATTGCACAATCAATTTCATTAAAGTAGATTATCTGCTAATTATCATTTTGCTGTTTTAGGAATTTTGCTGTCTGCAAACAGTTTGTCCTGTTTTCTACATGATCGCTGTAACTACACTTTAAAGCGTTTTCATTGACTGTAAATTATTTTGGGATGACCTATGTTCATGATAAGTGATTTGAATGCATGTTCCTTCTCTCTTTCTTTATTTCACATCTTTGGGACTACAGAGATCACCAAAGTAAATAGCTCATTCCCCATTAGTTACACCACAAATCTCCAGGGTTTGAATGGATCATTAACAAATGAACTCTATCCACCAACATTCCACCATATTGAGTCCACATAATTCAGAATGCAATCACATTCATAAGGCACACACTCATTGATCACAACTTGACAGACATGGTTTCTAATGTTTACTAAAGATAGAAAAGGTGTTGTGCTAATTCAGTCTAACTTGGTAAACCCAGACCTCAGGCGAAGTTCCAAAATTTGTCACAGTTAGAACATAGAACAGTACAACACAGGAACGGGCCCTTTGGCCCATGATGGTGTGCTGAACCTGATGCCAAATTAAACTAATCCCTTCTACCTGCCCTTGGTCTGTATCACTCCATTCCTTGCATATACATTTGCTTATCTAAAAGTCCCTTAAATGCCCCTATCATGTCTGCCTGCACCACTACCCCTGGCAGCGTGTTCTAGACACCTACTACTGTGTAAAAAACTTGCCCCTCACATCTCCTTTGAACTTTCTCCTTCTCACCTTAAATGCATGCCTCCTAGTGTTAGACTGTCTAACTCTGGGAAAAAGATTCTGACCGTCAACCCTATCTATGCATCTTATAATTTTATAGACTTCTATCAAGTTTTCCCTCAGCCTCTGTGACTCCAAAGAAAACAACACAAGTTTTTGTAGCCTCTTGTTAGAACTCATGCCCTCTAATACAGGCAGCATCCTGGTAAACCTCTTCTGGACTCTTTCCAAAGCCTCCACATCCATCCTGTAATGTAGTGACCAGAACTGAACCAGTTGAGATGAGATGAGCTCCAGATGAGACATCCCAAACTGCTAAGGAGGGTGAGGAGGGATGAACTGCCCCCCTTTCTTTATTCACCTGCCCCTTGCTGGTTGTAACAAGGTTAATTTAGAAAAGATACCCTTGTGGGTTGGGGGCGCTTTTCTCTCAGACCTAAATGAACTTAAGTTTTAAAAACAGCAAAGTTAACTGGGCTTTGTTTGAGTTAACAAAGTGTGAATTTATTAATTAGTACACATGAGCAGAATTAATAATGCAATACTGATTAGAAATAAGACGTGAGTCCAAAAAGATAAAGGTGAAAAACAACATCAGATTTACAAACCAGTTTCTGAATTATTTGCAAAGAGTGCACAGTTGTGGCCATTGCAACCGAGGTTGATAGTTAAGCAGTAAGTTTCATAATCCTTAGTTTTGCAGATTCTGCAGTTCTGAATTCTTTTAACCATGATTGAATTGCAGTATTCAAAGTGAAACAGTTCATTCATTATCCACATTTCTTTTGCCTGATTGCCAACTAGCTGACTTCTAGTGCTCGGAATAAGAGCGTTTTTACCTGCAATATAGGGCTGATTGGGGGATAGTTCTTCTGCAGTGGTCTTCACAAAACACCAATGTTCAAACCCAGGCTGATTCACACAAACATGTTCGGTCCTACCAGCACATTCCAGTAGATTTGAAACTGGCTTTTTATGTATTGTATTTCTTCAAAGGAAAAAACATAAAATTGGTCTGCAGTTTGGGACATAATTCACAGAGAGTGGCTTTCTGTTGAGTTGGGTGGTCATCAGCTCCTTGTTATCTTTGTAGTCACAAAAGATCACAGTCTAATCTGCTTTGCCTTGCATCTTGCCCCACTTTGTACGGCCATTGTTTGAAGTTCCCTTCACATCCATAAGTGTAACATTCTCTCGACAACCACTTAATTTATACCTGCAGCCATTTAAAACTCTATCAGCCATCTTTCAAAATAAACACATTTTGGAAATATAATTTTAAAATGTCCATATTGCTTTGGAGTTCTCACCCGTTGCTTTGACCATTTACAATGTTCTTGGCATATAACCTCCTCCCTCTGCCTATGTGATGCAAATATGATAACTGGAAATGGGCAGCGAAATCCCTGGGGCCTGAACTTTCCCTAAAATTTGGCTTTAATCCACCCCAACCCATGGGACAGAAGTCTGTTTTCTTACAGTCATAACAGTTCTAGCTCAAATGAGTAGACTCTCAGCCTGGGGGCCATAGGTCTCCAGCATAGGACAGTGAGTGGTGTGAGAATGGTACAACAAATCGATTTGCTTACATTGATCCAATAGAAGCTTACTTGAAATTTGGGTTCAGGCATACTATTGAGGCTCAATAGATGGATTTTAACCTGGACGTAATAAGACTTTCCAGAAATGAAATAGTTCCATTTGCAATCTGTCACCCAGATGTGACATAAAGGGTTAATGATACCTTTATGCTAAGAATAGCTATTGAGCATGTCCCACAGTGACCTCAGATCACAAGGAACTGGGAGCTAAAGCTACAGGGTCCAGAGATAAACTCTCTTACCATCACTTGTCTATAGATATGTTCACAGTCTGTTAATGTTCACTTACAAGAATATAGATCTGATTTTACTGCAACTGACATGCTCACAATTTCATGAAAATGTACCTTTACAATTAATAATTTTCAGAATGTAGGCCAGCTACAATCATTATATGATTGAAATTAACATTTTTTGTATACCAAGTTGTGGTCTTAACTAGTGTCAGCAAGAGAAGGGAAGTGGTTGTAATTGGATAACTCCTTCCTTGCTGTACCTTCCTATAATTTCAGCTGCTCAGCAAATTACTAAAGGTTCAAAATGAATTATGGTTCAATACTTCAAATTAGAGTCATAGGATTTTGCTTCTCCTTATAGACTCCAAAATCTTGTTAAACTTGAAAAGGTGCAGAAAAGATTTAAAAGGATGTTGCCAGGGTTGGAGGGTTTGAACTATAGGGAGAGGCTGAATAGGCTGGGGCTGTGTTCCCTAGAGTGTTGGAGGCTGAGGGTGTGACTTTATAGAGGTTTGTAAAATCATGAGGGGCATGGAAAGAGTGAATAACCAAGGTCTTTTTCCCAGGGGAGTCCAAAACTAGAGGGTATAGGTTTAAGGTGAGAGGGGAAAGATATTAAAAGAACCTAAGAAGCAAATTTTTCACACAGAGGGTGGTGCATGAATGGAATGAGCTGCCAGAGGAAGTGGTGGAGGCTGGTACAATTATAATATTTAAAAGGTGTTTGGATGCGTACATGAATAGGAAGGGTTTGGAGGGATGTGGGCCAAATGCTGACAAATAGGACTAGAATAATGTAGGATATCTGGTTAGCAAGGACGAGTTGGAAGGGTCTGTTTCCATACTGTACATCTCTATGACTTAGAATACTCTAAAAATCTTGACAGACATTGAGATGTGGTCACTGATTATAAAAAATAGCTCTAGACAAGGAATGCACACACAAACAACAATGTGATATTAATTTAAAAAGTGGTTTTATGATATTGGTTAAAGGTGAACTTTGGCCAGGACTAGTAGGAAGAATTCTCCCACTGTTCTTCAAAACGCTATTATCAGATCTCCCTACGTGGGCATATGGGGCCTTCGTTTGACACCTTCCCAAAAGTACGCATTCGACAGTAAAGCACCCTGCAGTTAACCAGTAATGTCAGTTTCATTTTCTGCTCAACTCTCTGGATTGGAGTTTGAGCCCACAACCTTTTGATAAAAAGCCAGAAGTGCTACACTAAAAGCAATGTGCTGCTTATCTCAGATTCCCATCAAGTCAGTCAGTACACTCCTAAAAATCTGCTTCCATTGCTAACAGAACATAGTAAAACAATAGCAGTTTTCTCAGCAATTGATTCGCAAGAGGAATTTCCATTATATGCTGTGTCATATGATACTCTCAGATCCATTTTTGTATTGGAGATCAACATTAATGCATTTAGTAAATGTCTTCAGATGTGTTAAGCATTCAGAAAGGAAATCATATATCAAAACATATAAACTGTATTTCATACAAGCCAACTTATATTTTAAAACAACAACAGCAATTGTTGGAGAAACTCAGCAGGTCTGGTAGCATCTATAGAGACAGAAAGCAGAATTAACATTTTTGCCCGATGAGCTTCTTCAGAGCATTCGAGTATGTTGAATTGGCTTGTGGCTTTTCAGAAATGACAGCCTAGTTCAGTTCATAGCAGGCTTATCCTTTACTCAAAATGCAGCTAGTTCATAGAATCCCTATAGTGTGGAAGCAGGTCATTTGGCCCAACATGTCTACAATGACCCTCCAAAGAACATCCTACCCTATCCCGGTAACCCTGCATTTTCCACAGCTAATCCACCTAACCTGCATATCTGTGGAAGGGGGGAATGTGCAAACTCCATACAGTCGCCCAACACTGGCATCAAACCCAGGACCCCAGCATTGTGAGGCAGCGTGCGAACAACTGGGCCATAGTGACCTTCAAGTCCTAGGATGGATGGCACAAATGTAAGCTGGGATTTAAGTGTAGTATTGATGGATGGCCATGATAGTAAAGGCACAGTTTTTTCAATGAGGTGTAAAGATGCTGCAATACTGTGTGAAGTATGGTAGGGAAATTCCCATTCTGACATGTACCCCTCAACCAATGCCAGCAAAACCAGATTAACTGGTTACTGACCATTGACATACTGAAAGTTGCCACATAAACACCAGTCTCAATCTGAAATCCAAGAATTTAATGGCTGGCTGCATGCATGCAAAGAAGTCAGTAATCTGACAAACAGAAATGTGCTGGAAGCTATCTTGTCTGTTAAACATTGGATCTTGATATGGTTCTATATATGCACAGATACCATGCTTTTATAGAGGACACTTAAACCATGTCAATACTTCCAAAAAACATATTCAGCAGGTTATAACTGAATGAAAAATATAAACCAGGTGCATGATATAAACCTTTCCCTTATGGCAATAATTCACTTTTCATCAAATGACCATAAACCCCAAACTTGTCTTAAATCCATGCTGTTGTTTCTTATTTCACAAACTCAAATACACAAACACCACATGAACACAAACAGACACACATATACAGGAACTAGATAACGAAGTCAGTGTGACTAAGGGGAAGAGTAGGCAGAGAGCAGATGATGAACGCAAAGGGACAGGTGGTCTGAGGTGCATTTGTTTTAATGCAAGAAGTGTAGTAGGTAAAGCAGATGAACTTAGGGTTTGGATTAGTACCTGGGAGTATGATGTTATTGCTATTACTGAGACTTGGTTGAGGGAAGGGCAAGATTGGCAACTAAATATCCCAGGATATAGATGCTTCAGGTGGGATAAAGAGGGAGGTAAAAGGGGTGGAGGAGTTGCATTACTGGTCAAAGAGGATATCACAGCTGTGCTGAGGGAGGGCACTATGGAGGACTCGAGCAGTGAGGCAATATGGGCAGAGCTCAGAAATAGGAAGGGTGCGGTAACAATGTTGGGGCTGTACTACAGGCCTCCCGACAGCGAGCGTGAGATAGAGGCACAAATATGTAGACAGATTATGGAAAGATGTAGGAGCAACAGGGTGGTGGTGATGGGAGATTTTAATTTTCCCAACATTGACTGGGATTCACTTGGTGTTAGGGGTTTAGATGGAGCAGAATTTGTAAGGAGCATCCAGGAGGGTTTTCTAGAGCAGTGTGTAAATAGTCCGACTCAGGAAGGGGCCATACTGGACCTGGTGTTGGGGAATGAGCCCTGCCAGGTGGTTGAAGTTTCAGTAGGGGATTACTTTGGGAATAGTGATCACAATTCCGTAAGTTTTAGAATACTGATGGACAAAGATGAGAGTGGTCCTAAAGGAAGAGTGCTGAATTGGGGGAAGGCCAACTATAGCAAAATTCGACAGGAGCTGGGGAATGTGGATTGGGAGCAGCTGTTTGAGGGTAAATCCACATTTGATATGTGGGAGGCTTTTAAAGAGAGGTTGATTAGAGTGCAGGACAGACATGTCCCTGTGAAAATGAGGGATAGAAAGGGCAAGATTAGGGAACCATGGATGACAGGTGAAATTGTGAGACTAGCAAAGAGGAAAAAGGAAGCATACATAAGGTCTAGGCGACTGAAAACAGACGAAGCTTTGGAAGAATATCAGGAAAGTAGGACTAATTTGAAACGAGGAATTAAGAGGACTAAAAGGGGTCATGAAATATCTTTAGCAAACAGGGGAGGAAAATCCCAAAGCCTTTTATTCATACATAAGGAGCAAGAGGGTAACTAGAGAAAGGGTTGGCCCACTCAAGAACAAAGGAGGGAAGTTATGCGAGGAGTCAGAGAAAATGAGTGAGATTCTTAATGAGTACTTTGCGTCAGTATTCACTGAGGAGAGGGACATGACGGATGTTGAGGTTAGGGATAGATGTTTGATTACTCTAGGTCAAGTCAGCATGGGCGGGAGGGGGGAAGTGTTGGGTATTCTAAAAGGCATTAGGGTGGACAAGTCCCCAGGTCCGGATGGGATCTATCCCAGATTGCTGAGGGAAGCGAGAGAGGAAATAGCTGGGGCCTTAACAGATATCT